AACATTGAGGGTTTGTGTTCCCACTTATTTATAATGTTGCCACCATCCGCACAGAGCGCTCTAAGGCAGACAACCCACGATCTTCGCTTTCCACTTGGTCGGCGAGAAATTCTTGTATACTCCCAATGTACCACGTCACTTGAGCTTTGACTAATAAAAACCCAACACCTCAGCAACTTTTAATCCTAGCTGTCCCTTCTATTTTTATTCTATTTTTAGTTTTTTACCTCCCTATTTTTACAAATTCACTTTTCTGCCCACCTCTGTTTTCTCTTTTTTCCGTAAAACTATAGAAGCAGGAGCTTCAAGTCCCTAGGCCCCTTTCTTCTTCAAACCCCTTTTCTCAAGATTTTCTTCTCAAGCTGTGCCAATCCATGGATTGTTTATCAGCGCCCCTCTTCATCAATGAAACTCCACCTTGAAACGTTCTCGCCGTCGATTACTATAGGTATTAGCCGTCAGCTGCACCGCTCATTGTGCAGGTAACTTCATCAGTCTTGCAATTCCCTTCTCTTTCTCTCCTCTCTTCCTCAAATTGTGGGTTTCATCTAATTCAACCTAAATCAAACCCCTCCCTAAATAATCCCAGGAAGTATGCTATGTAAGCAACAGTTGTGGGTGTTTGATGTAGGCGACAATTTTGTTCGGTAAATTAAAGGTGCTTGAAGTTGGCGCATTTGATTAGAAAAGCTATGATTTTTGTTCATGATTTTGGCTTTTTCTTTGGTCTACCAAGTCATGCGGCTGATTAGGAGGCCATGATTATTTGTTCTAGCTTTCGACTTGATCTTTTATGTTGATGGAGAAGTCCTATAACTTTGCCGTCAGGAGATTGGCGGTGTTGCTTTTACGGGAAGAGTAAGATGGGGAGGAAAGTGAATTTGTAAAAATGGAGAGGTAAAAAAGTGAAAATAGAAAGAAAATAGGGACGACAGCTAAGATTAAAAGTTGCTGAGGTGTTGGATTTTTATTAGTCAGAGCACAAATGACTTGTGCACTGGGAGTATATAAGAATTTCTCCATATATTCAATGTGTCTTGAACTCCTTTGCTCTGTATATTTCTTACTAGATTATCTAATTAAAAATAATATCTTTATTATGTTATTATTGAAAGCTATTTCCAAAAGCTTGAATAGGAATAGAATTCAATTCAGGTCTATCCGTTCTTTAGGTTCCAAAGGACGAGGCGGAACTTACGGCTTTCCAAGCAAGCTTCAGAAAGGAGATTTCAATTTTATGTCTCTGATCTTTAGCACATGTTTGATCCATTTAAAAAACATAACCATAGCTGATTCTTAAACTGTACATGAAGCTTTTCTTACATGCTACATCCTATGGTTCTGGGCAATTTTAGTTTACTTTCTAATATTCTCACGTGGCGCTCCCGCTAGAACTGTAATTTAGAAGCATCAGTCATAATCAGAATTGAAACAGAAAACAGATCAGCATATAAAACTAGGACAATGATCCAAATAGATGTTACTTGAAGTAATTGGTTGGATTCATTCCAATAAGATACTATCTCTGGTTCTTAATATTATTGTACCAAAAGATACACTAATCCTCTGATATCCCTACCGGTACGTATCTGCCTCCTTTGTGTGAGTGGAGATGACTATATCTACTAATTTTTGTGTGATTGGACAATTTTGGTTATGAAGAAAGGTCACTTTCCTGAACTGTGGTTCAGGTGTATGTTGCCAAGTTTTAAATTAGTTGGTCACCGGTTGTGTCATGGCTATCCACTTGGCAATTGAAGCCATGTTGTCAAACTTGATCACTTGGTTTTGGTCTCATAGATTCCAAATTAGTGTTTGTAGCCTAACAGATTTGTGTTGGGTATTGACAGAGAAGACAAAGATGCTTTGTTCACCCCAATGCTCTACTAAAGTAATCATTTTTTCAATTGGAAAAAGTTGAATTATTATGGATTACAATCTACTGATGTCTCCCTTTCTGCCCTTACAAGAAGTTTTCTATTATTGTGTTTGATCTTATTCCATTGATGTTAGTCTCCTCAGTCCTCACTGATACAGAGGATTCAGTGGAAGTTCCAAACAATTCTCATAGAAGAATGGCAAATCATTAAGCAGAAATAAAAGGCACGTACATTCAAGAATTGCCTAAGCCACATTCCAAGACCCTCATATATAGACTGTTTGGGCCACCAACTAATTAGGTCATTAACACTTACAACTAATTAATCACCTTACTAATCCAACTTTCCAACTATTACTACTAATATTCTGGCATGAAAATTCAAAAGCATCAGTCACAATCAGAATTATGACAAAAAAGAGATTAATTAGCTAGCATATAAAACTAGGAAATTAATCCCTTTGGATGTTATTACTTGAAGTTGGAATCATCATAGGCGCCTTATAGATGTCCGACGAATATTTAATTTGCTCCGTCAACAGAATTACCTTTTGAATTTTAGGTTTTCTGAAAATTATGTCCAGTGTAATGATAAGTTCTATGAAAAAGTAGTTCTAATATATATATATATATATATAATAATAGTTTATAGGTTTTTAGTTGTTATTGTATTCTTTCCAATATTAGATTTATATTAACTGATGTTGTCCTGTGAATAGTTGCTAGAAATGTACAACGACACATCCTTATGCTATAACTGATGATACACGTCATTAACTATTTGCAATGGAGTTTTTTTTTAAAGGAAAATTTTAACGGTTGCATTCACATTTTCCCATCTTTTCTGATGATCTGAGCTTAATAAGTCAGTTGTTATCTGTTATGATGACAGAGCTGAAAGCAGAGTAGGGAGATAGTTTTTTACGCAAGCTAAACTAATGTTCTGTTTGTTTCTGCAAGTTTGGAGCTGTTATTGCATCAATACCGTTCCCCATATTCACTGCATTGTACTGCATTCTGTTTGGATAATAGATATTTTCTATTATTTTAGAACATTTAATTTCAATGCCTTTGATGGGATTAAGTGGAAAGTTGCCTTAAAAGGCTAAGATTATTGATTAAGATAGAAGTAAACCATCCCTGCATTGTTGCTGAAATTTTCGAACATCAAGAGCTCATTTTTATGTGTGACAATGTGTCATCTTTGCAGTTCAACACACTCATGAACACCGTATTCTCATCACCGGCCACAGTGGCTTTGATCGTGGCGATGTTCCTTGACAACAAGCTCGAGGTTGAAAAGTAAAAGAAAGATAGAGGGATGACATGAGGGCCAAAGTTTAGAAAGTTTAAAGGAGATGGCAAAAATGAAGAGGTTCTATACTTTGCCATTCAATCTCAACAGGTTCTTCCCACCTACTTGATATTCATGAGAATGAGAAGCACAGATGCATAAATCTTTAAGCCATGGCAGATATGATGAGTGATATTCTTTCTTCACAATCATCCCTCAATTTTTTTAAGCTTGGTCCCACTTAGGATTATAAAGCATTTGGATTTGTGCTTTGTAGATTGAATAAAGAGAAAATTTATGTTTCTAGCTTAGTACCTTTTCAAAAACTCTCAAGACTATTTCTATTTTGTAGTTACATTCTTCTATTAAACTTTCTTCAAATGTAGCAATCCATGAATGTAAAGAATCCTAATTTCTTATATGAATAAAAAAGGGGAAAAACAGAGACCTATCAATGGGACTTTGGTTTATAGGAAGTGGAATATGGATGATATTTTTATTGTTAAATTAAACACTAGGAAGTTTTGTCATATTCTTTTTATAGTTATCATTTATCACTATTCCTTGTAGAAGCCAGATATAATTTAATTTTTTTTATAACAGAATCTAATTCTATTTGATGATGGATTAATATTATCATCCCTTTAATGATGTTTTCTCTTAAAAATTGTTTTAATTTTTATACAAAATGTCAGAAATTCTTAAAAAAATTTTTAGTTATTTGCAATTGTCAAATTGATGGATTGTATTATAAAGTTTCACTTGAAATACTTTATACACATTAACATGACTTTATCCTTTTGATTATGAAGCAAGTGTGGAGAGGTTATGGGTGAGACCTTCAAAACTTATTCGTCTACAATTTAAAAGTATGTTATCCTTTTTTCTATTTGAAAAACCTTTTTTGTGATGATTTTTTGCCAATATAAATGGATATACAAGATTGTTTTTTTAAATAATAACTACTAAATTGCGAGATTGAAATAAAGAATAACATAAGAAATCATTGATACAATATTTGAAATAAAATAAGTTGTGCACACAAGGGCCACATAGTTATTGTATTTTGTGTGCAATCTTGAATATAGTTACATAGCTTCAACAGACTAAAATAAAACACAACTTCAAAATAAGCTTCTTCTTTTTAAAAAAAAAAGGTTTTTGTGAAATTTTCAACACACTGATGCAAATCCAACATATTTTCACACACAAATTAACACAAATGCAGATAAAGAAACCATTGGAAGATCCAAACCTCACCATCAACCCTTCATTATCTAACTTTCCAATTTGATCTCCAAGGCTGACCAAAAAAAAAAATTAGCAGCTTAATCAAAATGGAACATATAGACAAAATAAAAATTAATAACCTTGTTTACTCTTCACAATATTCGAGACGGTCCTTAGATAATGTGTATTAAATTAGAGCTAACTATTTATAATGATGGGAAATAAAGTGTTAAGAATGTGTAAATGGTAGAAATTAATTATTTTTGAGTTCTATATAATTATTCAACTTCTAATATTACCATGACATGTCACTTATTTAATACGAGTACATTATTATGATTTTGATATGACAACCATTATATAGACATGGAAAATTTTTTGGGACTGATTCCAATTTCTCATTAAAAAAAATAGAGGGATGTGTGTGTATGTGTTAAGATAGAATCTTTTTATCGTAATAGAAGACCATTTATTTTTCATATAACGATAGAAATTGTAATGCACAAAATTATTTCATTGATTAAATAGGATAATAGTTTGAAAGAAAAAGTGTAGCTACGAACCTGATGATGAGGGCTTGCCTTCTAATGGGATTTTTTAGATTTTTGATATGTTTGGACAATCTTCTATTGTTATAGTACCAGAAAGGTGGTTGAATTCATAACCTTCATAAATCTCTTTCAACTTTGGCAACTTCCTGAGATCCAAATTATTCAGTTTCGGAAACAGCCTTGGATGATGAGCAGCTACTTCACCTTCATAGGCTTCGACAACCGCCTCCAATTCACAGCAATTCTCTATAATTATTTGCTTCAATGAAGGACAATGAGATGCCAGAGAATATGAGAACACTCTTCTCACATTGTGACAACGAGATATAAAAATGGTCTCAAGTTTGGGGAAGCAAAGAGTGGAAGTAGTAGACAGATTCTTAAGTGACTCTTCACAAAATATTCCCTCCATTTCATCGCATCCTCTTACATAAAGTCTCCTCAACTCTGGAAAGCTTGTAACAATAGCAAGAGTGAACATATTTCTTAATCTTGGGCATTCCCTCAATGTAATGCTTTCAAGTCTATGGAGGCTCAAAATTTGGGTGGGGCCCTTCCAAATATATTCTAATTCTGGTAGATCAAGTAATGATAGCGAATACAATTCTGACTTCACCACCCTCACTATGTCGTTCCCGTGTTTCTGTGAAGTAAATATATTCAATGATTAGATGAAAATTCAACATAATACACACACGTGAACCACATAAATTTAATAGCACTGTAACATTAAAAAGTAAACCCCATTCATTTCACATATTTATAAAACGGTAATAATATAAGCTCAGTAAGATGAATTTTATTAAGTTCAACTTTTCTTATAGTACATACTATTGATGATACAATGTGAAATATATATAGACACACACACGTACACAATGTATGATGTATAAATATGCATCAATGTTGATTTATTTCAAATCAAACAGTCTTGGACAAGTCATACTTTCCATGATAAAGAACTGCTCACAAAAACAAAAAATGATTCCGCAACCAAGCATTAATGGGAACATTGCTAATACTTCATGTAATTTCCAACTTGATTTCATGATGAGAAGACTGCTTCATAGACGCAAAATATTAAATAAAATTTGAAATGACTATTGCTTTTCATTAGAATATATCGTTTCATAGTAAACACAAATTTTCAAATAAATTTAAAAAGTAAACAAGAGGAAAGGAAAATAGGTCCTGTAAAAAGAATTTTCTCACGTCCAAAGAAAATGAGAAAATATTTCCACTAATTCATTCTTAACAAAAACAATCATGAACAAGTACTTTCTGTAATAACAAAGAAGTTATTTCTCCGACGAAGCTATAAAATGAAAAATATAAAGTGTTATATTTGATAAATAATTTAAAAGACATTTATCAATTTTATCCATAAAAAATCACAAATAAAAAAAGAAATAGTGAGAGAAAACACTCACGTAAGGGAAGATCTCTCTCAATTTCGGCACTGACCACAAGCGTAAGTACTTCAGTTTGAGAAGTGGTAGCCAATCCTCATATGATGCTTCTTCAGCAAGCCTCTCAAGTTGAGAACAATTTCGGATCAAAGGTTGCTGAGAGATTAAAGCATGCTACTTAGTTTCGTACAAAAGCTGAGAGGAAAACATACAAATTTTAATAACAATAAGAGATGCACACTGACAAAGACCTTTTTAGCGTCCACAGAAAATTTAACAAATATTGTGTATATATACATAATTTGTAGATATTATATCAGCTCCAACTTATTCTAAATGAAATACAATTCCATATAATTATTTGCTTGACGAAATAAAAAATAAAAATCAGAAAGTGTTGTTTGGGAAAACAAAATTAATTATTTGACGAAAAAATTAAAATGAACTAAAGAGATTAAAATTTTTATCAAATTCATATGTGGAAGATAAATTAAAAAATGCAGCTTGCAAATAATAGTTGTAGTACTGAAAAAAGAAAAAGAAAAATTTGAGCAGTTTAATCTTTAGTATTATAATGTAAATGCTAAATAAAAATTCTATGAAAAAGAGGTAGGTGAGCGAAAGAAAAATTTTATCAAAATGTTTGAAATCTCTTGTGAGAACTTCTGCGGACACTAATTTATATTATGTTAGCCATTATAAGTATTTTCCGAATTGATCATTTAAAATTGTGTTAACATAATCTCGACACGCGTTTTACCAGACTCAATCAATCTTTATAGTAACATGGAAAATGTGTGACTGGCAAATGTTGTATATACTTTTTACTACATGATTATGTTAATTCTCTATTATAACAACTCTATCACATTTAATAAATAATATATATCTTTTTTTTAACAAGAAGTACACATATTAAATATTTCTTGACCGACAAGAATTATTTGAACAAAAATACTAATGTTAACTTAATTTTTAGCAGAAAAAGAAAGAGCCACAAAAAGGTATTTTCTCACATCAAAAAGAAAAGAAAAGCATGGCGAAAAAATTTGAAACGAAAAATATTTCTCTTAAAGTATGTGTAGTTTTTATATAATGCATCAACACTAATTTATTTTTGAATAAAAATAACTTTGAATAAGCACTTCCCACAATGAATACCTAATAGCAAAAGCAATATGAAAAAGTCATTTACTTGACCAAAATGCAGAATACGAAATGTAAAATGTTACTGCATCTGACAAATAAAAGTTGTTATTTAAAAAAAAGGGAAATAATATTTTATTATTATGAAAATAAGGAAAACTCAAAAAATAGTTTCATCGTGCAGCCTGAATATATAGCCAAGAAAATTTTTTAATAATAAAAAGAGGTTTATACAGGTATAATAAAGTGAAGTCAAAAATAAAATAATTACTGTAGAAGTTATGTTTAATGATTATACAAATATATATATTATACGATAGCAAACAAAAAATTTTCAAATAAAAGGGAGATGTAAATTGAACATGGCTACTTTAGCCAATGCGTCAACATACATATATGGATTATTATTATTTCTAATATGCAATGATTCAAGAGAGACATTGCGGATTTGCTGGTCAAAACAAAAAACAGAGAGAGACATTGCGGATGAGACTTACCTGTGGATGATCTTGCATATCATGAAGTAGTGGATCCCCATGTGCAGCTTCTTCACCAATAAGCCCCTCTAATTCAGAGCAATTGGCTATGAATATAAACTCTAGCGAAGGACAATGAGATGCCAGAGAATAAGATAACAACCATCTCACTTTGTTGCAATTATATATGTCAATCCTCTCGAGTTTAGGGAAGCAAATATTAGAAGAAGAAAGGTTTTTGAGTGATTCTTCACAAAATATTCCCTCCCATTCCCCACAATAATATACTCCAAGTGTTCTCAACTCTGGAAGGCTTGCAACAATAGCTAGAGTGAAGATACTTTTTAATTTTGGGCAGTTCTGCAATAAAACATCTTCAAGTCTATGGAGGCTCACAATTTGACTGGGGCCCTTCCAAATATATTCTAATTCTGGTAGACTACCTAATTTTAATTCACTCAACTCTGAATCCAGTTTTAGAGGTTCTTGTGTTTTAATAGATTCATCATCATCTTCTACTCTTTCTCTGACTTGGATTTCCAATATACCTTTCTTTTTTCCACTCCTTCTAATTTGTAGACTGTTCAACCTGAGAAAAAGGATCAAGGATTGCTGATTTTGCAACTGATTGAATCTTTTTGTTGTAATGCCCACATAAGCACTGTCAGTTTCCTTTCCCTGTAAATGTATTAAAATTAAAATTATGAAATGGACTGATTATAACAACTTACTTTTTTTTTAAAATAACAAAAGCAACCTCACATCAAGCCCCCACGATCGCGTATGGCTGTACAAAAACAACTTGCTTTTTACTCTAACTAGATTGGAGATTAAACCCAGTAAGTTTCTTATATTATATATTAATTATTGCCAACTATTGCTAGTAAATAATCCTTTTTAACAACTGGGCAAATATATATAGTAACAATCAGGACTTTTTTTATTACCAAAACTTGAAATGAAAATATAAAAAATTTTAATAGCAGTAAAAGAGGCACGGTAAGAGAGATCTTTTTAAATATCAAAAGAAAATTTAAGAAAAACATTTATCTTAAAATGTGGTATCCTAAATCATTATTTTATAGACAAAATATAAAACAAAAAATTTAAAGTGCCGCTCGCAAGAATGAGATAACAAAGACAATTTGTAAATAATTTTTGTAATACTCAAAAAAGAAAAAAAAAATACAAGTAGACAATTTATAAATAATTTTTGTAATACTGAAAAAAGAAAAAGAAAAGTAGAAGTAGCAGTGTAATTTGGTTACAAAACATAATTAGTAGTTAAATCTATAAAAAAAATCTCTTAGTCCCAATAATTTTAACTTAATATAAAATTTGGTCACTGGACTTTTATTTATTATTGCTACTTACTCCTTAATCTCCTCTTTAATGTTTAGTATATAACATAAATATTAAGCAACAATATTTAGGTCAAATTCTTTATATTCATTATACAAGGTTCTCCAATTATACATGATTATATATGTATCCTACATATTTTAAAAATATTATCATTGAGGTGCACTGCAAACTATATTTTATACTGAGGACTAGCAGTAGTGCAAAGATATAGAATTTCATTGTACAAACATTGTTATGTAGTTAAAAGTCTTTAAATAAAGAAAGAAACGACACTAAATTATAATATATTAGCTTCTTTAATTACTTTCCACAATTAATATATAGATGGTGATAGAAATTATGATTTACCAAACTACTTTATGATAACAAGACTTGCATTTTGAAATTGATTTTTTTTTGGCCAAAATTTTGAAATTGATATCGTGTATTTTTTAAATGGTGATAATTAACATAATCTCAACATGTATTTAACAAACGAATATTCTATATATGTTTTGCTACATGATTAAATTCAACCTGCTATAACATTTAATTAATGATATATATATATATAAGTAGACATACTATATATTTCTTGACCAACACAAATCTTTCTTTGACCAAAAATTGAAATATAAACATACAATTGTTTAAGACCGAGAGAGGCACCGTCAAAAAGTGGTTTTTCACATCCACAAAAAAGCATGGCAGAAAAATCCAAACGAAGAAAGAAAGAACATTTATATATGGAAAATGCATCAATGCCAATTTATTATAAATAGAACAACTTTGAATAAGTACTCCCCACAATAAATACTTGATGCCAAAAAAGAATTAATAAGAATTAATATGAAAAATACAAAGCTTGAAGAAGCAATAGTATGTTGTTATTTTGAAAATAAAGAAAAACCTAAAAAGTAGTTTTTATCGTGCAGCCTAAATACAGAGCTCAGAAAACTTCAAAATAAAAAGAGGCTTATATAGTTACAATGAACTCAAGTCAAAAATAAAATGACTATTATCTCTTACTAAGAATATTTTTTAAAACATAAATACATATATTATACGATTGTAAACAAGGCTATCTTCTTTTTTTTTTTGGTAAGAGTAAACATGGCTATCTTTAAATTAAAAAGAAAGAAGAGGTAGAATAAACAAAAAGAAAAATAACATGACTATTGTTGGTTATTGAGAATATACATGATTTATGCTTATATATATTGTTGATCATAAGCACAGATTTTTCAAATTAAACGAAAAAAAGTAATATCTTCAATTTGTTCTCCAAAAAAAAAAGGTAGAGTAAACAAAAAGAAAAAAAAATCACCTACAAGTGAATTATTAGCAGTAGCATGATTCTAGGTTTTTTTTTTCAGCACAGAAGTTAAAATAAAAAGGCATTGATTTCACATAAATTGAGAAAAGGATATCAAATTTATGTGTACCAAAAGAGAAAAGCAAAAAAATTCAGTTTAAAAATTAAATGAAAAGATAAATATTTTTCATCGAATGTTTGAACACAGACTATTATTTCTAATATGCAATGATTTAAGAGGAATTTTGCAAATAATACTTACATATGGATGATGTTGCTTATCATGAAATAGTGGATCCCCATGTGTAGCTTCTTCATCAATGAGCCTCTCAAATTCAGAGCAATTGCTTATAATTATTTCCTTCAGTAAAGGACAATAAGAAGCCAAGGAACAAGACAATAGCCATTTCACTTTGTCACAACCATCAATATGAAGTTTTCTCAATGTTGGTAGGCTCATAATGGTGGCATGCGAGAAGATACAAATTCTCAATTCAGGACAACTCTGTATCCATAGCTCTTGTAACATGGGGAGCGAGCATTTGAGAGATGAATCTTGAAACACTCGTTCAAGACTATTCATTTTAGACAATCTTAAAGTGATCAATTGTGAGAACACATGTTGTGTTTGAAGAATGTTCATATTAGGGTTCTCGATGATGAATCTTTTCTCTTGACAGCAGGATATCACTAAGTGCTTTATCTGAAAATTTATATCCTTATAATCCCACCTACAATTATCTAGCCAAAGGTGGTTGGCTCTCAGAATGTGATCTTTCATTGGTAAATTCAAATCAGAGACTCTAAAGCCTTGTATACATAAAGCTCTTAATGCTTCATCACAACTATCAAAATATTCTTGAAAAGAGTCATCCCGATAGTCACAAATTAATCTGGAATCATAGATAACATACCTCTTCAAATTTGAAAGAGAGAGAATTTCTGGGGATGACAGATTTGTGGTCCCAAAAGTATAATTCTTCAAGCTGCTCACATCTTCCAATTACTTCTAAAGGGCTTTTCTCAATTTGACAACCAAATATATCCAAAAGTTTCAGCATTTTCATATCTACAATTCCAGCAGGTAATTCATCAAATCGAGAACCACGTAAGTCAAGAATCTCCAATCTTTTAAGTTCACCCAAAAGAGATATGTCCCCCAAAATTTTCCCTCTAAGGCATACGGTGTGAAGATTTGTTAATGATACAATTGATTGTGGAATTGAACCAAATGTTGGATACCACCACCGCAATTCCCACTCAAATGCATGTCTTATGAGTGCCAAGACTTTGAGTGACTCCATTGCTCCAATATCTTGAATGAACCCATAAGGTTGAAGTAGCAGAATCTCAAGTTTTGGAAAATGCAATTGTTTAGAGAGCTCAAAACCCTTATCCAAATTCCACAAGGACACTGCCTTTGTATCTTTCAAACTTTGGTGGTTATCAATTAACATCTTTGAAATTTCTTGGTTGTCCACTAGAACTTTTTGATATTGCTTCTTCGCAATCCACAAGGCTACATCTCGAATCACATCATGCAATTTTACATGTGCCTGCTTACTGGTATGCATTAACAAACAAGAATCTAACAATTTCTCAATGTTAGCTAAAACCCTATTCCTTGTTTCTTCCATTGTGTAAATTCTTTCACCAAGCTCAGGAGTCCCTTTGCCAAAACGAATTAAATCCTCTATATGGATTTCATGATCCTCGGGAAAGATAGAGCACAATATGAAGAGCGACTTAGCTAGCGGACTAGGCAAATTATCATAACTTACTTTGAGAGTTACATAAGGGGTCTTCAAATCATCTTCAATATCATGTGGTGGGGGACGTAGTAGCCTTTCTAGTGTTGATCTCCACGTATGAATACTCTTTTCTTTTAATGTGCTTCCAATTGTTACAATTGATATAGGCAAACCCTTACACTCATAAGCAATCTTCCTTCCGATGCTATCGAACTCATTCGTTGAGACATTGGTTGCGTTAGCACGCATCTTGAACAAAACCCATGCCTCATCCTCTGTTAAGAGAGGCAGCTCAATTTTACTTTCACAATCCATAGAGACACATACATCTCGAAGGCGAGTGATTAACAAGATGTGACAACCCCCAAATGGTGGAATGCCAATATCTTCAAGCCTTAGATACTCCCATACATCATCTAAGATTATAAGAATCTTCTTATTTTTCAATCCCTCTGAGAGCCTTTGTGCTCTATTACTTTGAGTTGCCTCTTTAAATTGCAAGCCTATTTGCTCTGCTATTTCTTGCTGAATGTTCAGAATATTTGGGCGTTTAGAAACGACTGCTATGACGACCTTGTCAAAAAGCTTCAACTCATCCACTTTCTTGCCCACTTTCTTTGCCAAAGTTGTTTTGCCTGAGCCCCCTATACCATACAGCCCCACCATCTTGTTTTTGCCATCTATAATTGCCTCCAAAAGACGATCATAAGTTGATTTCCTTGAGTTGAAATCCATAAACTCTTTGGAAGAGAGGTCAGGAATGCCAGGAAGCTGGATCAGTTGAGAAAATGGCTCAAAGCTGGAATTTTGTTTGAGATCTATCATTTGCTTAGCCTTATTTTCCATTCGTTTTGCTAAAGAATATCTGAGTGACACATTAAAACACTTGTTTCGTCCTCCTTCAAGCTCTTGTTGCAGCTTTTGCTCCTCTTCTAGGATTGCATTCACATCATCCAACCACTTCTTCACAGATGGCATTATTTCTTCAGTTTTTCGGTCAGCTTCTTCCTTGCGCTTTTTCACGTCTTCTAGTTTTGCCTCGAGCTCTTGTTTTGCTTTATCAACACCTCCAATGAACTGCTTGAAGCAGAACAAATAAGTAGCTCCTTGTGAAATTGGAGCCACCAAATATTCTGCAAGCTTTGACCTGATTGATGTCACAATCACTGCCATCTGATGCAATAAAACGCAATCACATATGCTTACTTAATGTTGCTTTAGTACTAATAGTCTCTCATATTATAAATATAAAATCAAGTAAAAAGAGTTCATTCGGCTGTTACATACTTTCGCTGCCAACTAATATAAAATCTAAATAATGACATGAAAATTGACAATGCAGAAAGACGATAACTGAAACTAATTAATTATGAGAGAGCACAAGAAAAACAGGAATTCTCAAGTTATACCATACCAGAAGATATTATAGACAACAATGTAAATTAATGATTAATAAATACTCTCTAAAAATGGAGAATTTTTTCTTAAACAAAATTGAAAGGATTTCCTGCGATTTCCCAAAATTGAGTACCAGAAAGCATAGCTTAGCCCCCAAAGTGTCGTAACTTCACACAGTTATGGAAATTATTTAAGCAGAAAAAATCATAAGACGTAGCAAACAACTAAAATGAAATAAATAAAAAATAAAGCATTTATTTAGTTAATTACCTCAAACTGTACAGTCAAATGAGTCTGGAAAGGAAAATGTTTCACCGAAGCGAGCCTGGAATCAATAAAGAAGCAAACAACGATTCACGTAATTAAGCCTATGGCATTATGGATCTTAAAATTTAGAGTTCAATTTCTACAAATATTCATTCTCCTAAATTTATTATTGTAAAGTTCAGAAGAACGAATCAAACAAATTTGTAATTCTTTTTATAGTGCTCTTTCACCAAACTTCAAATAAAAAGTTGGAAAAATTACCCACAGGTTCCAAAGAAAAAATTTAAACATAGATATATTCAAAATATTTTGTATTTACAACTTTTAACATGAATCGATGATTTGTGGAAGGATGATGATTTGGTTTTCTTCTGAAAATACACTAAAAAAAATCTATCAGCTAATAATTAAATATTTATACCGCTGTTTTTTCTTTGTTCAATTGATATAAATATCTAATTAAAGACCCACAATACATATTAAATTACTAACGAAACCCAAAGTCCCAAACCCAATAGAAAAAGTAGAAACATCACAATAAAACTAAGAGTTTTTAGATTCTTCTTTACTTTTGGTAAAAAAAAAAAAAAAAGGGACTTGGCCAACCGGTTCAATAAGAAAACTGGCGAACTGGTTAGGTTTTCTTGTTGGACCTGGTGACAAACTGGTTTAACCAGGTAACCACCAACTGGGATGGGTTATATGGTTTAAACTTTTTTGCATCCTAAAAATGCATAAACTGTGGGAAAGGAGAAGATTTACGGAGAAAAGAAGGAAGAGGAAGAGGAAAAATAGAGAGAGAAAACAAACCTTACTATGAGAGAGTTCCTGAACATGCCAGAAAATGAAGTGAAGATGCATTTTAGCCTGGAAACTAAAACGCATGGAAGAAAGATAAAAGGATGATTCAGCATTCAAGGCTTCATCAGGGGGACTTATTTGTTGTTGAAGCTGTAAGAGAGAAACTGTGAGAGAGAGAGAGAGAGAGGAGAAACTAAAAGATTAGAAGGTAAGAACGAAGATGATAGAGATAATGGGATGGATGAAGTATGGACAAATGAAAGAGAAATGACGAAGGCAAAAGCAATTTAGTTGAGAAAAAGAAATGAAGAACTGTGAAGCGGGTTCCAAGTTTGCTATTTTACTGTGCTTGCTGCTTGTTCGTTGTTCAAGGAAGAAAGAGGAAAGCTGCTCATGACGCGCGTCATGGAAAGGAAAATAGGGAGCAGTCACATGGGAGAGAGAAAAAAGAGTAGAAAAAAATGAGGAAAAAGATATGTATTTTAATGAAGTGCAGATTTTTGTCTCAAACACCTAAAAATATCAAACATTTAAAGTAGATATGTATTTTAATAATTTTGATTGCTACAATTAAATATTTAAACTGTTGGGAAAAAAATCAAACATTTAAAATACTTTTATAGTTTCTTATATTTTATTAAGTGATTATTATTTATAAATGTTGTTATATTTTGTTATTGTCAATTAAATTATATTATTTTGATATCACCGGCCTGATTTCGATTGGACTCTGATCTAACCTACTACCTCAATCGTTTTAATAATTGGTCCGGTTTTTTAATCCTTGCCTTTATCAAGATATCAATTTATTTGTTGATTGAGATATTATTCCCTTACTATATTCATGGCAAATAATAAGAAAAATAAAATATAAATAAAATAAGACTAAATGGGTTATTATGATATTTGTTACTTACCTCAAATATTATAATAAAGTTACACCAATAATGCAGAAATGACCTCTCGAGTAACTCTTAATTCAAATTAAGAGATGTACAGATTGCACAAAAGTAACAAATAACAATTCATGCAATTGGTACAAATACATGATATACTAAATTTTTTAAAAAAAATTTAAGTCTTAAAATTCATTATTGCAATTATTTTTTTTGGCCTGACATAATTGCAATTATTGAGGAACCAAAGGAAGAAAAAAATAAAGTTCACTGACCAAACTTTTTATGAATGCAAGAAGAAAAAAAATTCTTTCAAGAATAAATATTCAGTTAATATAAATTGATTATAATATGACAAAAGCGCCTAACAGATTTGATGTTTAATATTTTAATATTTTAATATTTGATGAAATTAATTTAAAAGCCAATAAAAATATAATTGTTTGAAAATATTTCAGGAGCCAGTGAACAAAAGGAAGGTGATCAGAAGATGGTATTTATTTTATTTTTGTTGTTATGTTTTGATATGATTAATCTATAAGATCCAAATGATTAGACATAATTCTTCGATCTTGTCAAAATATGATAGTTATGAAACAGCATTCTGCATGATTATACTGTCACTGTCACAGATTGAACACAAACAAATCCAATTAATATGAATTTACAGTCACAAAGTGAGAACATCTACAATTGTTTTTATGTTTAATTTTCTAATATTCACAATTTTTTCGTGGTAAAAATTAATTAAAGAATCACAGTTCTTCAAAGACAATATTTACCTGCAAGACGCCTTGATGAGTTCATGAAAGAAGGCAATAAATGACATAAGAATGTGAACGATGAGTATTTGTTCTATACTTGACCTCTTTAATTATGGGGACACCCATTCTAAAGTTGAAGTAAGCCATATGTTCATTCCTTAATGATGACTTAAATCGGTTGTGGTGCACACTGCTTTAGGTTTCTTTCGTGATGTTCTTTCCTTAAAGATGAAGAAAATAAGTATTCCCCTCTTTCTTTGGGTCCCAAAGTAATTGTTATTTCAATTTTAATATACCAAAGGGAATAAAATGACACACAAGGGAAGGCGGACACAAAATGACACACACACGCACGCACACAGAGAGTTTGGAGTATTTAATTTGAATAAATACGTTGTGAGTATTTACCGCAATAGTGTTTTCTACTTCTTTTTTTTTTGGGCCAAAAAATAGAGACCCTAAAATTAAATGGGGAGACTGAGGGAACAATTTATTTAATTTTTATAATTATCATTTCTATACGTTTTTAAGAAAAATTGAAAATAGTTATTTTAAATCTTTTCATTAGGCAGGGTACCATTTCAAAATGTAAAACTTATATGTGTGCGTGTCTATGTTAGATATTATTATAAAAGAATTTCTAAATATTTACTTAAGAAAAAAATATTCAAAAAAATTTACTCGAGAACTTAAATTTTCAAGTCATAAGCCCTTAACATGATATATTAAATATTCCCTGACTAAAGAGGTGTGTAAAACTTCATAACATAATTATTCATCGTTTAATAATTTAAATTTGGAGTTTAAATAATGATCAAAGACATATTAAAAAACTAATAAATATCTCAAGTTAACTCAAGCTGTATATAGTATAATTTTGTAAAACACGTATTTCTAATATTCCATGCAAAAAGAAGTATATATTTTATATATCTATATAAAATTTTTTCTCCCCTCCCTTTCTTCCATTTCCCTCATATCAGACGAACCCTTAAGGATGTAAGATGAAGAAATAATATTATGAAATTTACCATCGAATCTGTTGAAACTGGAAATTAATCTATAAGATCAAAATGATTAGACATAATTCTTGTCAAAATATGAAAGTTAAGAAACAGCATTCTGAATGGTTACATCAATTCCTATGAGTTTATACTGTTCAGTGTTTAAACTTGGGAGGAAAGGAAAAGAACTTTGTGAGAACACACACACACATATATATATCCAGATTTTAACTGGGGAGCAAGGGAAGGAAGGTTATGAAACATCAAACTTGGATGTGCCAGGACACATTCTTAAGATCAGAGAACAGGCAGCAGCATCCTTAACAATAACAATGAAGCAGAGGACAACCGTTAAACACAGCACGAAGGTTTGGAAGAGGAGACAAAGACGATGATGATGGGGAGAGAGAACATGAACAGTGAGAAAGGAGAGAGAGAAGCCATGGGAGCAAGTGTTGTGGCTGATTGAGGAGGACAGTGTCAACTTAAACTAACGGCTTTTTAAACGTAATGATCGGCATTATTGACAGCGTAAACAATAAGGATTCGACAAAAAAGAGAAATAACTAGAAGGATCTTATTCAAAATTTAACAAAACTACGAGAACTGTTAAATTAATTTTTCCTATTTCAAAAAACAATATAGCAAAGAATCTTCAAGTGAATATTTACCTGTTCGGCAGATAGATGAACTTAAAGATGTTTGATGAGAAGCCTGAACAGTAGAGGCAGGTTGAAGAAATGATTGAAACTGCTGCTAGTACATACGCACGTCCAAGATTGAACGTAAATACAAGAAAGAACAAGTGAGATCAGGTGAATGTAAATGAATGAGACAAGTTAGTCTAAACTCTTTAATAATTTAAAAACTAAACAAAGTACCACATAAGAAGTCACCAACTACTGAATAATACAAATCCAACTGATATAAATTTATTGTCACATAGCTAGACCATCTAGCAGACTCTTTTTGACGTTTCATTTTCTAATATTCAATTTTTCCTGGCAAAAATTAATTTAAGAATCAATATAACAAAGAATCTC